TCAATTGAAGGAACCGTGCTTGCTCCCTGTATGCCCACTTAGCGCACCATGTCGAGGGTCTAAATATTACTATTTGGGTCAGCTAGAGGGACAAAATCACTGCACTTACCACTGTGCTGTTTCTTGGCCTGCTAGGGCACTTTGCCAACTAAACTGTGACAAGCTACGAACTAAGCCACGTTTTTTCCGGCGCCCTGCTGTCGTGTATTGTTTGCTTTGATTACGCAGGCCGTTGATTCCTCCTAATAGACAATAACGGCATCCTATGTATGCTACAGTACTGCATTTATGAGGTCAGCATTCGCTAACCAAATCAAGCCTTACACTCGAAGCGCCTCTAAGCACGTCATTATCTCAAGGGAAGATTCCACTGATAATATATGCTAGCGTCTCGAATAAGAACGGTTCTGTGATGCCGTAAGTAGTTAGATTTACGCTTGCAGAAGAGTTCAGCCATTTCGAACCCCACAGGATATATTGTTAAAAAAGGGCCCACACGAAACCGAGAAAATGATTTCTGGCATTTGCCCACCGCTTTCAGTTTTCCTTGGCTGTCGCGGTCTCCCTGGTCTCTATTAATGTTCGTTTCGCACTATGCACACCATGCGAATATTTGCAGAGACTAGATTGGAGACCAAAGAACGACGGAACGAGCATGTCCCGTACTCTCACCATACTGGCGAACGCTACTTACGTGTTACGGTATCTTTTTATCCATGAACTCACCAAGGATTGGTGAGCATAACCAAATCCACCAATGCTTGGCCATTTTACCAATTACGTTTCCTTCAGTTCACCAGAGTCAGCCTGAGGTGGAACTTGACTTGCAACATATTTTATCTTCGCTAGTGTTGTACGTCCGGTGTCCTTGCAACCCCGACGACCCACTCGAGGGAGACTGGGTGGCCCCCTACCCACCGGCACTCTTAGACAGCCCGCTTCACAAAAAAAGTTTACTCTACCTTTGTACGGAGGTGCGACCTTCAAAAATCTTCCTGCCTCAAAGTCGCGCTCCCCTAGTCCTGTTTGGCGTACAAAACCGTCTGCTAAAGCGTCGCCAAACGCCACTAACAATGGCTACCGAAAAAGAAGAATCAGTGAAGCCAGGAGTAGTTTCTCGTCTTCTTCTAGCTCCAGTCCAAAAAGCCGGGCGTCAAGTTCTTCGTGGAAGAATGCTGATGGTAAACGCCATAGGCGTTCTCCGTCTCCAAAACGGCGTAACACTAAACCCTGGCGTGGTCGCCGCTCTCGTGCCGACAGTCAGGATAGTAGTGGGAGTACCGCAAGGTAGTAACTTATTCCTATCCATTTGATTCTTATTATTCTCCAAATGATCGCTCTCCAATTTATTGACCATGTGTTACTGGCTAACTCAGTCGTATCTTGATACTGTTTTAGTTTGGTTTAGTTTTTCAAGTGGGGCCGTTCCTAGATATATTTGCGCCCTTATGCGTCTAGCTTTAATGAGGTGTTGCAACATGGCTCAAGCTAAATCAACACTGGTAGTGCCCCGCACGTTTTCTTTCGTATTCTGTTCTTACCTGTTCGAAGTACGAGAACCTAGTGAATAGGTGTTATTGACTGCTCCTCTGCTTTGATCTATCATGTAACAAAATTTATGGGTTTACGAATAGTGTGGGGACTGGAGCTGCTTCCTTATGGTGTCAACGCTGCCATAAACTGTTAAGTTGTGAGTAGCTATCTTGCAGAAGTCTAGTGTAGTGCCCACGCGGGCCGCGATGAAACGCCTTCACCGCTCCTGGCTTTTTGCATTTAGATGTACTATTTCTCAACCGCACTATTCCAACAAAAACAGTTTGGAAAATTTAACACGGAATATTTTTGGTATGCCCACTATTCGCTAGTTCGATTTAAATTCAAAATGTTATGTAATCCCGATCAACGTACTGCCCCAAACCGTATTCGCTAGTTTGCTTTAAATTCAAAACGTGATGTAACCCCGATCAACGTACTGCCTCAAACCGTTTTCAAAGCCTTTATCGATATATCGTTTGGAGACCATGGTTAATCCGCGTGCGTTATCTTCCTCGGTGGAGAATAAGTAGTCGTTTTCGATCTTGAGCGCCCTCAGGTCTCCTTAATTATATGCAGACTATATTAGAAAGATAACTCTCCTGGTCATAGGCTTCGTGTTCGCTGCACGCAGCTGCGTCATTTTTCCTTGTTACACACCGTTGCAACAGAGGTAGTCAACCATATCAAAACTCCCCTTCTATAAGAGACTCGGTAGAAATGCAATGCCGACGCCATTAATGGAAGGTTGTGCATGACCGAGGGCTGTCAGTCGGCGTCCATGGGAATGCATCCTTTCTCCAAGCAATAGGGATTTCCTGTTAAAATTACCCAAAACTTTGCATCCGAGTGCAGGCTTGCGAGTTACCGTAGACGCCTTTGCATGAGCTATGTTCAGCTAGTCGTTGCCACCGACAATTAGTTGACAGTATAATAAATCGGTGCTTTAACCCTACACTCTTGCATTTTTGGCAAAAAATAGACATGTTTGATGTCCCCAACTTTCATACCTGAAGCATCTGTCTGTTGAACTATGCAGGCGCAACATACTGGCTGTGCCAATAATCTTAGTTCCAAAATAATTCACTGCGTGCAGAAGGTTTTTTTGCTGGGCAATTTCTTTTCGCGCCGTCTGCCAAGGGTGATCGTAGTGTAGTTGAAATGAGATTGTCGTCCATCTGCACATGTACAGGCCTCGTCTGCGGATCTCATCGTTGGCGTTGGTAGCTAGTGCCGTCCAGGCTTGTCAACTGTGTTTGTTGGTTCTTTTATGCAGAATGTCGTTCGTTCGCGCGGTTAGCTTTTGCCGCTTAGTCCTCACAGCCATCACAAGTTGTGTTTGTGGGTAAATTATTTTAACCACGTGCCCCACTGCCGTAAGTTGAAAGCAATGCCAAGACTTGGGTGTTCCATTTGAGCTTCCTGTCACGTGACTGCTGTTGCACGTATTTTTTCGCTACATTTTTATATTCATTAGCTCCGCTTGGCACGTGCAGTCAGCGTCGCCGGAATCGATGAATTATCGGTACGTGGGATCACACCCGACTTCAATGAGGCGTGGAACATGTCGGCCTAGAGATCGGAATGTGACACACGTAGACAAAATTTTACAATTCTTCAGCCGCGACATCCGTGCTTATCTTTGTTCTTCCGAACATTGCCGATGGGTTAGAGAGGAGGGTGTGGCCGATGCTGTAAAAGCCTGTCTCACCATGAAATAACCTATTACCATGTCGTGCGTACGGCAAGAGCCGACGCTACAAGTGCCGTAAGTTACTCCTGTCTCATCAGTTGAGCTTATCATTTGGTGCCTCGGACCCATTTGCAATCCATGTCCGGAGTAGTGTGGCACAGCGCTTGAGGATTTACATTTTATTTTCAGTAGCAAATCGCTCATTAAAATAAGTATTCCATACGGTGTGGTTTCCCGTCTCGTGCTGTAGCGCCTTGCTGCTCAGCTCCTTTGATTTAACTTTGCTCTGAAAGTCAACTAAAACGCTAAAATTCGCATCATATAATTGCGGCGCGTTGCTTTGGCCTGCATGAGTTGCACCGCACATCCGTTTCTGCGGCCGACGGCTTGCTAGTAATTTATTATTTGACACCATTCGAGACCTCGCTCATTATTTCATTCATGCAAAATCAATGATAATTAGCAGGGTCGTCTATTCCGGAGAGGAAAACTGAATTGGGGTTTTGTGGCAGCCAATGTCACTTTTCGCTGGGCTAGAATATTTGGACAAAGGTTTGTCTAGTCAGGGCTTCAAAAATCAGCCACTGAACACCAATGCTTTTAGAATGCATCCAGAAAATTCTTACTCTGAAGTGTTTTCATTACTGATTCCTTGTTTAAAACACTTTTCAAGTCTATAAGGTTCCTAATAGTTTGCTCTTTTGTGAGATTACGGGTACAGGGCCTTTTATTTGCAATTCATTTTCACCCGGCAGTACGATCCCACAAGTTGACGACCACCAGGTTAAACCGCAGACTGCGAATGTGAATGCACAGAAACAGTTTGCGATAACTACCTTAGCCCTTCCAGCACGCCACAGCCGATCATTATTGGAAATAGATTCCACTTGCCGCACATAAATGATCATATTTCTAAGGAATTCCTCGAAGCCTCTTTTATAGGACTAGTTATAACGTGTTTAACCTTGCGAAATACCTG